AACAGAATTCATATACTTATAATTGATTCATGATGATGAGAAAAATATTTTCATATCAAGTGTTTTTCTTTTAAATGGAGGTGAGTACCATGATCAGAAATTCAGAAATTTCTATGATATAGAGGGAGTCAAGAATGAATTCATTATCCCAAGGACACCGCGACAATGGTGTGATTGAGCGCATGAATAGAACAATCAATGAGAGTGATAGGAGCATGTGGTTGCATGCAACTTTGTCGAAACAGTTTTGGGTTGAAGCAATTAACACAGTTAAACTGATTTACATAGTGCGTAGTATCCTACTTGCGTAGTATCCTAATATATATATAAATTTAAAAGTTAAATTCTTATTTTCTCAAAGATCAAGTTTTCGGTTCTGTTGCAAAGTAAGAAAAAATAAGTGAAAAATATCATCAAAGACATTGTTATACTGTTGCATATAAACAGTCGGGATCAGTTATTAAGGTCAAATGATACCAGCGTCAGTTACAAATATGGAAATGTGTAACAATTCATTAATCACTTATAATATTCCTATTTAATGAGGGATAAACATGTAATTTACTAGACCTCTCTTATAACCTATAATTAGGGGAAATTTCTTCAAAAAATATTGTTGAATCTATTTCAAAAGAGCTTGTGTTAGTGTGTCTTCTATTCTCTCTACTCTCTTTATTCCTCTCATCCATCCAGACCTCTATCCCTTAGGCGTGAACTGAAGGACGGTTTGGGATTCAACATACTTTATTTATTCATACTAATTAAACGAGCTAATAATTCTAGTGAGCACAAAATTTTTTACATAAAATTAAAATTTGAGTGGCATTTTAATTTCTTATATAAAGCTAGCATACGAGTTAATATAAAATTTTGAATAAATACTTAATTTTTCAAGTAAAGTTTTTAACAAATAATATTATAAATCCAAATAAATAAACATTTGAATGAATTTTAAATTAGTATCCAACTAATTTATATCAAGTGAATAAAATATTATAAAA